AATTTTATTGGCCTAAATTTGAAGATCATGCACGTGATATTGTTTATTTGGTATTCGAATACCTATCAATTATATTACCAAATTTTCACATGACCGCATAATTTTGCAAAGAGCGATAATAACTCAAGCCTACTTTTATAATAAAATTTTGCGTTATTTACGTTTTTAAAAAAAGTAATTTTTTGTGGTTACGGGTAGTTTTACATTTTACAAGTCCAAGGGTTTTTTTTTTGAACGTCCATGGTCCGCGTCCGCGCCGTCTATAGCCTTAAATAACTTGTAAATGTATATTATAGCTTTATAAATATATGAAAATATCAATTCTGAACAACTTTAATTAATAGCTCAAAGCAAATTTTATAACAAAATTTTTCGTTATTTACGTTTTTAAAAAAAAGTAATTTTGTCAAAGCACTAAGTCCAAGTACAGTACTGATTACGGGATAGAGTATAGTTACGTGACTAGTCTTTTAGCATAAGATTATCTTGTCCAAAGGAAGCTTCATATTAAAAAAAGTAAAAAAAAGTGAGTTAAGCCTTTATTAAGTTTTTTCGTATGAACTAAAACTATATTAATTAAAAGTTGTAAGTTCAATTATAGAACTTAAAATAATTATTAAAATAAGCAAAAGATGACCCTTAATCGTCATCCGAAAAATTTCCTTTTTAATAATTTTCATATTCAGACAAATTTTATCTATAACTAGTAAATCATTGTAGGTCCGGACAAAAATTTTATTTACGAATCAAAGAAATGCCACGTCTAAAATATGTGAGAAATGTAATCAAAGGAGATTTTCTTTGATTAGGGAGAACCTTGCAACATATCAAAAATGATTTTGATAAATGGACAAGTGAAAATAACAAAATAGAGTGGTGTTTTACACACTATTTGTGTTGAGATAGTTTTTTGAATAAAATTAAAAATTTATGTTTTTATGGAATTACTCAAGATCTAGAAACACATAATATGCGAACGTAATTATAGGATCGAAATTATAAATCAAAAAAGCTGAAGAATTTTTCAAAAAATAAAAAGGGGGAATTTTGAAATAAGTCCGAATCACAACTACATCAACTTGATTATCAATATACATCCATAGGTAACTTATATCAGTAGAATTCTTAATTTTCCAAGTCTTCCAAAACTCAAAAATGAATGAAGAAAATTTTGAAAAAAGAACTTGACAAATCTAATTCTGCTTTGAGTGTTGATAAGTATCAATTGTATTCTCATATATTTTATATTTAAAAATATTGATTTATTTATTAAGTTGCTTCTAACTTTTATGTACTTGATTTTAAGTAATATTTCAAATAATATTTATCTAAATATTGACTTTTATATATTTTAAAATTATAGTTCGGGTATTATTAATTGTAAATATGTATACCATAAATTTATTAATAATTATTCAGATAAATATATATAGAAAACCTTTAAAAATGAAGAACCTATTTTTTTTTAAAAGTGATATACTTTTTCGCAGAAATAAACGAACTAATATAATTTATAAATTTATTCTTGAATTATTCATAATTATTTCTTTCTTATTAATTGGAATGATTATATTACTAAAATTTCATTTAAAGTTTATTAATTCAATAGATTTTTCTTTTAATTTATTATTAAAACAATTAAGATTTTATCACATTTACAATTCTTTAATATATAATATTTCATTTGAAGATTAATGTCCACAAGATTTTAATTGTTTTCTTTTTTTAAGATAGATAATTAAAATCTTTTAAGAATTTTAAAACACTTCACATCTATAAATTTTATTATTATCAATGAAACTACTCCTTTATAGATGATAAATGGTCATGAGAACTTTTATATCAGATATTAGTTAGATAAAAAAAATTATAAAAAAATGGAACCTGGGAATTATTGTTTTAAAAGACTAGAATATTTCTTAAATAAAAAACTATCAAGCAATTTTTTTTTTTTTTTGGCAAATAATGAATGCTGATTAAAATGTTGATTTCTCTGCTTTTTATTCAAAGAAATGTGAACATGGCATAAATATTAACCTTTTAAGTAACCAGAGTATTATTTTACATTACTTTTGCGTTGGCATTTTCATTTGATATTAATTAAATATACTTCAAAGAATTCAAAATGTAAACTATTTTTTTTTTTTGATTATAATTCTTCACTTTAATGTCTTGATGAATTTCTTAATGTCTTAATCAAATTTACTTAATCTATCAACAAATTTAAACAATCTTTTATCTTCTATTTTAAAAATAACTCGACAATTTTTTTCCCCATACAAGCCACTTTCTTTAACAGCCTCAATATTCGGTGAAATAAGTGTCCATTGAGATCTCATTGCTTCCAATTTTCCATTATAATCCCAATATTCTACTGAATACTTACAAATGACTTGTTCCCGTTCTTTTTTATAAAAGTGAATCTTGATTGGGTCACATGATAATAAATATACAAATTTTGTTCTAAGGTCATAAGCGAGTCTCTGTGGATTAACAAAAATTATTTTGTTTGGCTCAAAAAATTTGCCCTAAAATTTTTTTTAATATGATTTTGATAGTTAGATTCCTGAATTCGTTAAAATAAATTATAGAAATCAAATGTACAAACAGATATTCCCCAGTAACGTTCTTCTTGATGGTAAAGAATATATTGCACTGCTAATGGTATTAATTTATTCCACTGTTTGGAAACTCTTCTCAATTTGAAAAATGTTTTTAATCTATAAAATGTGCAATGTTTCATAAATTTTAACTATTCATAAATATTATCAAATAAAATTATCACATAGTTATTTTCATCCATATTTACTTAGATTGTTTTAACACCCTTTTGAGAACTTCTAAAGATACATCTTCCGATAAATTATAAATCATAATCTATCCTTTTTCCATTGAAGTTTTTGATAATCGAGAAAAAGATGTCCGGATGGATTGAATTGATCCGTAACTTAAAAAACATTGATTTCTTATAGGCTTAATCCCGTGATTACGCATTTTGAAATCCCCATTGGGAATGGTAAACGTTGTACAAAACTTTTGATTCCGAGGAAAAACTTTTATCCTTGGGTATAATATTTTAACTCTTAATGCGTTTAATGTTTTCCCAAAAAGATTTAAGGCGAACTGAGTGAAATAATTTTTTTTTTTTTTAAAGGCAAAAGTCTTCATAACGATAAAAGCTAGATTTATGTAGATCACATTTCCCTTCGAATAAGTAAGCCTTTGTTTTTACACGCAAGAAATATCTTCTAACGAAAGACTTATGTAATAAATAGAATTCTCATTACACCAGATATAATCGTAAATATTTATTACACAATTCTGTAATACCTCATTAAATTGTTTCCTAAAACGAAATGATTAGTAATCGGAAATAGGAATTGTTTTTGCTTGAAAAAAAAATCTGCAATAATTGTACCTTAAAAAACAATCGATTTTGGCGCAGTGTGAAAAACATCGTGGGTTGGATTAAAAATAGTATGATAGTAGAATGATAGAATGAGAAGTTCTATTTATATATTTTATTGTTTTAATCGAATTTAAGAACAATTTATACTTGGCGACGGAGTAATTCCATTGTTAAAATGAAAAAAAAATCTGGTTTAACATTCACGTGCATATTGTCCTAATTCTACAATGCAGGGTTGCTTTATTCGTAAAATTCATTTCAACATTTCATTCAGATAATGATCTTTAGATAAAATAAACAAATGACAAGTTGTAACTGGTTTTGGTAATTATAACCGATACGGGGGGATACCTATAAATTAGGATCGAAAATTTTAAATTTCAATTTCAATTCAATTAAAATAAATTAAAAAAAAAAAAATGTCTTCTCAATTAAATGATGAATTAAGCGAAAAAGTATCATCTAAAGACATTGATACTAAAGATAAAAATGATGATGATAAAAAAGCTACTAATGCAGTTAGCTTCTTTCAATTGTTTCGTTATGCTACACCTTTTGATAAGCTTATGATGTTTTTGGGCAGTATCTGCGCTTGTGTTGATGGAGCAGCAGTTCCTTTTCTAGCGATAATAATTGGGAATGTTCTCCAATCCTTGATTGTTTTCACAGTATTAGTAGCATTAAATGAAGTTACCGATGAAGCTACTGAAGCACTTAAAAAAGACGTCCTAAAACAAACTATATATTTTTTTGCTATCGGAGGCATAGTAGTCGTAGCTGCTTATTTTCAGATGGCACTTTGGATGATTGCAGGAGAAAACCAAGTAAAAGTATTTATCTTCATAAATTATTTATAAATTTTATAATATAAATATAAATACAAATACAAATATAAGTAGAAATATAAATGTATAGAGTAAATAATAAATAATATTTACATTTAGCGACTTCGTGAATTATTCTATAAAACAATCCTTCGTCAAGACATTGCTTTCTTTGAATCTGTGTCAACAGGACAAATTACAAGTCGTATATCCTCGGATGCAGCTTTATTTCAAGGTTTGTTTATAAAAATTAATTTTATTGAGCCTAATTTTTTTTGTTTATCATTATGAAATTTACATTTTTTTTTGTTTTTATTTATTTAAAGATGGAATTTCCGAAAAGGTTGGACTAGTTATTCAAAACATTGCAACCTTTGTCGGAGGATTTATAATTGGATTTACGAAAGGTGAAGTTTAAGTATTATTAAAGATAACTTGTCTTGATTATATGAAATATGATTATAACTTTTTTTGTATATTTCTGTAATTTAGGATGGAAACTTGCTCTTGTTGTAAGCAGGTAATTACAACAACTGGTTTCTCTCTATAATCACACTTTTTATAATCACATCTTTGTATAATCACATTTTTGTGAATGCTATATATATATCATACTTTTTTTTTCGTGTGATTATAGAGAGTAATTTTTTTTTTAAAAAAACAAAAAAAATTTATTTCTAAAAAAATCATTTCTCCCAATTATAGTTCATTACCATTATTAGTTGTTTCTGCTGGCTTGTTTGCCTATCTTATTGAAGCTTCAACTAAAAAAGGACAAGGTGGATGAAATAAATTTATATCCAATTTTTACCCATTTTATACGTTTTCTTATTTATATTTGAATTTTTATAAAGAGGTATACGCGGAAGCAGGAACTGTTGCCGAACAGGTACTTTCTGGCATTCGAACTGTGACATCCTTTGGAGGTACTTTTTAAAATAACATTCCAGATATTTTAAATATCTTAAGGGAATTGACTGATCGTTTATTTAAAAATTAGGTCAACAACGTGATATTGATCGTTATAAGCAAAAATTACAAGGTGCTTATGTAATAGGGAAAAAGAAGTCTTTAACTAGTGCAGCGAGTTTCGGCCTTATATATTTCTCTTTTTTTGGGACTTATGCGTTGGCATTCTGGTATGGTGGTGTCTTAATTTATCGAGGCGAAATGGTTGGTGGTGAAGTATTGAATGTAATATTTGCTGTTGTCTTGGGTGGTAAGTATTAATTTATTAACTTTTTAATTTGTAATTTTGAAATATTTACTTAATTTTTTAAAAAATTATCATTTACAGCATTTTTCCTTGGCTCTACGGGTCCAAGCATTGCAGCTATTTCCAGTGCTCGCGGGGCTGCCTACAACCTTTTCAATATTATGGATCGTGTTTCAGCCATTGACTCAGGTTCAGATGCTGGAACAGTTCTTGATAAAAAATCTGTTAAGGGACGCTTGGAATTTAAAAATATAGATTTCTTTTATCCATCTCGTCCAGAAGTTCAAATATTAAAAAACTTTAATTTGACAGTTGAAGCTGGAGAAACAGTTGCATTGGTTGGTAGTTCAGGATCTGGAAAATCAACTATTGTTGGATTATTAGAAAGATTTTATGATCCAACTAATGGAACAATTCTTCTTGATGGACAAGAAATCAAAAATATTAATGTTAAATCGTTAAGATCTCAAATCGGTCTTGTGGGGCAAGAGCCCGTACTTTTTCCAGAAAGTATTAAACAGAATGTTGCATGGGGCTGCATTTCAGATGATAAAGAACCAAGTTTAGAAGATGTAACTGTGGCATGCAAAAAATCAAACGCACACGAATTTATTAAAGATTTACCACATGGTTATGATACAAATGTTGGGGATCAAGGTTCTTTATTATCTGGAGGACAAAAACAAAGGTGATTGATTTTTTTGTTTTATATTGAATCTGGTTTTTTTCAAAATGCAAATTTTTATATTTATGATATTTAAAATTTATTCTTTATTAGAATTGCTATTGCACGTGCAATAATAAAAAATCCATCTATATTATTGTTGGATGAAGCTACATCAGCTCTTGATACTGAATCTGAGCGTCTCGTTCAGGAGGCTCTTGATAAAGCCACAACTTCCACTACGTCAATAGTAATTGCACATCGACTGTCTACTGTCAAAAATGCAGATAAAATTGTAGTGATGGCAAAAGGTGAAATTTTGGAAATTGGAAACCATGAAGAATTGATTGCAAAGAAAGGTGCTTATTATGCCTTAGTTCAAGCACAAGAATTAAAATTCAAAGAAACTAAAGAGATAGAAGAATCCGACAGTTCCTCTGAATCTGAAGATGAAGATGAGGATGAAAATGGTGATGATCTGGTTATTGAACTTGAAGGAAAAGAGAAGAAATCCTTTTTACGGAGAATGTCAACAAAAGGTTCAACATCTGATGAAAAAGGCAAGAAATCAAATATACGTAGGATAACCACCAAAGATTCAGCAGCTGAAAAGAGAACTAATTTACGTAGAATGACTACAAAAGATTCAGTAGCGAGAAGTTTAGAGGAAATACAAGAAGAAGAATTCAAAAAAAAATTAAAACAGCCATCCCCTTATTTGAAAATCCTTAAACTTCAAAAACCGGAATATCTATTGCTTTTCTTTGGTTTGGTTGGCTCTATTCTCAATGGTTTAGTTTTCCCAGCATTTTCAATTATATTTACAAGTGTACTAAATACATTTTCTAAAACTAATGAGTAAGGATTTATTTTTTTCTAATTTTTTTTTTATTTTAAACATAATTACGTACTAATACTATATCAATATAATTAAATTTCAGTCTAGAAGAATTGCGTAAAGAATCGAACTTCTGGGCATTGATGTTTTTAATTGTAGCAACAATTTCTTTTACTACAAATTTCATGCAAAGATTTTTTTTTAGTTTGGCCGGTGAAAAACTCACAAAGCGTCTCAGAACTTTGACATTTACGGCATTACTTAAGCAAGAAATGGGATATTTCGATGAAGAAAGGAATGCCACCGGTATTTTAACATCGAAATTGGCATCAGATGCATCAAAGGTGGAAGGTTTAACTGGTGCATCAATGGGCTCCATTTTGAATTCAGTGACTAATCTTGTGGCTGGTTTGGTAAGAATTTTCTTTTACATTTTGTTTTACTTAGTAAAAATTTCTTTTCTAAAATATTTTAATATATTGATAAACTTAGATCATTGGATTTTATTTTGGTTGGAAATTAACATTGGTCGTTCTAGTTGTAATGCCACTTTTTGTTATAGCATCAACACTGCAATTACAGGCTATGGCTGGTTTTGGTGAAAAGGTATTTCTTCTTATTTAAAAAGTTAATTATTTCAAAAGATTATATTTATTAAATCAATTTCTTCTTGTTTTTATATAGACACGTGAAGCATATGAAGATAGTGGTGAAATTGTTCAACAAAGTGTGTCGAATATTAGGTAGGATTATGGTGATATTTTAATTTCTTAAATTTGATATTGTTTAAAATATTAAAATATATATTTAATTATTTATAACTATTATTTTGTAGAACAATCGCTTCTTTAACCCTTGAGAATACTTTTGTAAAACGATATCAAGTTGCAATCGCAAGTCCTCATAAAATTGCCCAAAAAGGAATTATGGTAGCATCTATAGGTTTTGGATTTGCTCAAGGAGCTTTGTTTTTCGTCTATGGTTTAGCATTTTGGTATCTTTTTCAGAATTTTAATTATTTGGCTTATGTGAATTATTGCGGAAATTACATTATTATTTATACTTGCTTTTTTTTTTTTTTACAAAGGTATGGAGGACAATTAGTCGCTAAACAAGAATATACATTTGATGAAATGCTGAAAGGTTAGTAGATAAAAATTAAGAACATTTAAAATATTTTATACAAATATTAACCACAATTTTTTTTTTTTATCTTTTAGCATTTTTCACTATTTTATTCGCGGCAATGGCTCTTGGACAAATCAGGTGAATATTTAATTTATTATTTCATTAATTTATTTGATACATACTATTAGTTTGAAATACTAAAAATCAATAATTTTTTATTTAAGCACCTTTGCACCGGATGCCGCGAAAGCCAAAGTTTCTGCAATATCAATCCTTGAAATTCTTGAACGAAATTCACTTATTGATCCCACTCAAAACGAAGGTAAAGATCGACCAACGCCCGTAACTGGTCATTCGAAATTTCAAGATGTTTATTTCAATTACCCAGCTCGTCGAAATGTAAAAATTTTACGTGGTTTAAACCTTGACATTGCACCGGGTAAAATGGTTGCTCTTGTTGGACCATCTGGCTCAGGAAAGAGTACTGTAATTTCCTTGTTGTTAAGATTTTACGACGTCAAATCAGGAAGTGTTGATTTAGAAAATGTGAATGTAAAAAATTGGAATTTGGAATATCTTAGAAATAACATGTCATTCGTTGAACAAGAGCCAACACTATTTGATTTGTCTATAAGGGACAACATTGCATATGGAAAAAGTGGATGTACACAGGAAGAAATCGAAACTGCAGCAAAAAATGCAAATATTCATAACTTCATTGTAGGTTTACCTCAAGGATATGACACTCCTGTTGGTCAAAAAGGCGCGCAATTAAGTGGCGGGCAAAAACAGGTATATTAATCATCATCATTATTATGGTTTTTTAATTATTTTTATTTTCAGATTATTGTACTAATATAAAAATCATAAAAACCATAATTATAGCGAATTGCAATTGCTCGTTCTTTAATCCGAAATCCTAAACTTTTGTTACTCGATGAGGCAACCTCTGCTTTGGATTCTGAATCTGAAAAATTAGTCCAAGAAGCAATTGATAAAGCAAGTAAAAATTCCACGACGATTGTAATTGCCCACAGATTATCGACAATTCAAAATGCAGATTTGATTTTAGTTGTGAATAAAGGTAAAATTGTTGAAAAAGGATCTCATTTTGAGTTAGTCGCTCAGCGTGGATTATATTTTGAATTAGTAAATAACCAAACGTTAGGACCTCAACATTAAAAAATATTTAAAAGTAAAAAGGATAGAATAAATCGGCATTTTTTCTTAGGGTGGGTTTGAATATATAATTGGTAAAAAAGTTTTTATATGTATATTAGATTTTTATAATTTTTAAATTTTTAATAATAATAATAAATAAATGTAATATTTTTTGTTTTAATCACCACATCAAGAATAAGTCAATGTGAATAAATCGATAATTAGTATAGTACTTTAATGTCAGAAATAATATAGAATTCAAGTTTGTGGATCGATAAAAAGTTTGATAAAGCAAAATGAGTTCAAATTACAGATCAGAATTCCAAATTATTATTCAAAAAATAATATTTAATTGACAATTACGCAAATTATTATTGTTATTAGTAAATTTATAGTATAAGAAAAACGAATTTATATTAATAATTTGGGTTAAATTTTGATTAACTCTTTGATATTGATGAGTCGATGAATTGGTGAATCAAAAAATTATTGTAAGGTAAAAAGATAGGATAGCAAATAAAGTATTTAGACTAAAGACAACTTTAATACTCTTGGATGAAAATTTGATATTCCATATACGTACATCTCGAAAATACTTCGAAGAATTTACTTCTATGGATTGATCAACTATAACCAATGAATCGTTTACTGTCATTTCGTGTCAGAACATCACGTTCTTAGGATGCATATGACATTCTAAAAAATAATATACTGTAGATATCGATTCTTTTATTTTTGAACCGAATTTAAGGTTTGAACTTTAAAAAGAAAATGGTGTTCAATTATTACAATTATTAGTGATTTTCATTACACTTATAAAATTTCATTTATGGAAAGTAATTGAAGGAATGCAACACAATTTATGCTATCGATTATGCTAGTAATTATTACTTTCGATATTATTAGGATTAATATTTCCTCGAATTTAAAAAAATGAATAATTTTTAAGTATGTCATCTAAAACTTAATTCCAAATTGCATGAGATTCTTGCTGACCTCACAATAATTTTATCACTTTACATTATATAATATTATATTATATGCATTGCGACAAAAGATATCGCCAGATCAAACCCCTCAAAGTTTGGAGAAATTTTGTACTGGTGTTACTATTCGCTAGAATTTGAAAAATAGAATTAAAATTAAGGATAACAAAAATATATAAGGAGATGAAACCTTTTCTCCCTAATATTACCGCTTGAGTTCAAAGATTTAATTTATTAATTACATGAATTATAAATAAATTCAATTTATTGAATTTGCAAAATGAAAATTTAAATGCATCGTTTATGTACAATAGTAGTAATTTATTTAAAACAAATATTTATATATTTCAAAGATGAAATTATGTTTTGTTTCGCTACAACTTTTTTCATTAAGTGGATCATTTTTGTAATTCTTGCACCCCTTTTTACAACATTCTGTATCTTACAGTATCCACAAATTGTCTACACCCCTCGTAAACCAGAAGGCCGAATATTTTCTTCACAACAACGATAAACCTGCTTGCACCCACGTGAATTGACATTTTATCATTACAGCACTTCCAGTATTCGAATTCTAACTGGGATCTAATAGGATTAATTCCTCCAAAGGTAACAAACACTTGGTATTGAATATTTTAGGGTTTTATTTTAAAAGGTTTAAAGGAAATTAACATCTTTATATAGTATAATTTTTATGCATTTTGTTAAGGTTATTAATTCTTGTTTTTACTCTAAAAGTAATCAGAATTAATTTTATTATTACGCATATTCGATCATCACGAGGATTACATATTATTCGATTAAATCCATTATTTAAAGTTTGAGGTAGACTATGTAGATAACTTATCTATTTGGTTTTTTCGATATATCTGTTTAGCAGCTAATCTTCAAGAATTAGAGCGATTGGTTTTGCTAAATTTATTAAATATTTGATAAACATTTATTTATATTTCTCGTTTTTTTTAGTCTAAAATAATATAAAAAATTTACCATACCATAAGGAGATTCGCAATGAAATAATTTAATTAAAACATCTTTGTGCTGATCGAGAAACAAATTAACGAAAAAAAAAAACATTTCATTTGCTTACATATATATGGAAACTTGAGTTTCGAATTAATTTTTAGTTATTATCCAATAAATTTAACCGTTTTCATTTAAATGATAAATTTCTCCTTAATTTTTTTCTTAATAAATTTTTCCATTATTTATTTTTATTTAATATCTTGAATATTTTGTTTCATATAAGTTTTAATCAAATTATTCCTGGAATTACATCCTGTTTCAAATTTTCTTTCTTTATTTTTTTTTTTGTTTTTTAACAAATTGGGTTAAAAATGCCTTTGGTACAAACAGAAAATAGATATAATGAGAAAACAACAGAAAATGACTATAACGAGAAAATAATAGAAATTTTTAATAGCTTGAAAATTACCGAGAATGCTAATACTATTGTTAACGATTTGGAAACTAAAGATTCTTTGAAAAAAGAAGAGACCGCAGAGAATGCCAAGACCATTATTAGCGACTCGGAAACTAAAGATTCTTTGAAAAAAGAAGAGAAAGAAGAAAAAGAAGAAGAAACCACAAAAAATATCAGGATCATTATTGACGATTCAGAAACTAAAGATTCTTTGAAAAAAGAAGAAAATGAGATTGAATATCTTATTGAGGTCGAATTTGAATACAGTGACGATTCCGATGATTGCACCAGTGATTCTGAATGGAAGTCATTTATGTCCTCCTCTTCTCATAAAGGATGGATGAGAAATCGTCCTAAATTTGAAGATTCACCTTATTATCTTCCTCAATTTGAAGACGATGAGGTAATGAAAATAATGTGTTCTCGACCTCTTTGAATAAAAATATTATCAGTTATTAAAATTTCTATTCATTCGTGTATTTATTTATTCGTGTATTTATTTCGTTTATTTGGCTAAATGATAATTAATGACGATAGATTGATCGATCAATGATTGCGGTGAGAATCTTATTCAAATTCATCATAAATCTATAACTTTGCAACTAAACTAATTTTTTATGAATAGGATTATATTTATAAATACGTTCAAGATGGAAATTATGTTGCTCCAGTAAAGAATATGACGGTAAATTTTTCGTATTTAATTGAATGACATACTGCACGTCGATCGATTTGGTAACTAATTTTGAATTTTTTTTTAAAAAAATTTAGAGATGCCTCGAGTTAGGGTGAGTTTTATATCTTTTTCTTTCTTTTTTTCCTTTTGCTATCGACTAAAGTAATCTTTTCATTTCTAATTAAAAATTAGTTACGGGTCAGGCACGTGGATGATGGAGCTAGCTAGGTAATAATAATCATGTGATTAACTATATTAACGTTATCTAATATAATAAATTTTTTGAAATTGATAATTTTTGTTTTTTTAGTGGTAACCCTGAGTGTGAATTCTTTGGTATAGATTTGCAACCTAACTCACCTGAAGATACTTATCCGTTTAATTGTAATTTTGAGATTGGAGATTTTTTGAGTAAGAATTTTATATTCCGTTGTAACTTTATTAAAAATATAAACTGTATAAATCATTATTCACTCATTATTAAAATACATAATTTTAACAGAAGGAATTCCGTATCCGGTAAGAATTAAGTTTAATAATAATAATAATAATTAAATTTATTTTTTATTATCTTTTATAATTACATTTATTTTTTTTTGAAAACATTATTAGGATGAATATTTTGATTTTGTGTATGCGAAGATGACCATTTTATTTGTTCAACCGGAAAAATATGAAGAACTTTTTAAAGAAATATTCAGAGTACTTAAGAAAGGAGGTTGGGTTGAATTCTTGGTATGTTGAATAATATTGAATAATATTGATCAAATAAAATATTTTGTGAAGGATTTACGTGCTAACCTTTATTATATTATTACTATTATCACTATTATTACAATTTATTACAAAGGAATCCGATCAAGTTCATCAGTAAGATTTATTTATTTATTATTTATTTTATTTTGGTCTTATTTATATAATTTTCTTTATTATATACTCTTATAGTCATAAAGGACCTCTCCAAGTTCGATTTGAAGCAGTTTGGCAAAAAGTTCAAAATGATAATGGAAATTATCCCTTGATGATTCGTACCATTCCCAAGAAGTTTCAAGAAATCGGTTTTATTAATGTCAAAGAAGAAAATTATAACATTTCTTTAGGTGATCATGGTGGAGAGGTAAATAAATTTTCTCATTATTAAAATTTTCTTTTAATCATTATTAAATTTATATTAAAATTTTATTAAAATCTACCCATCTTTATCTTTAATCCTTAGCTTGGAAAAAACATGATGCTTAATTGGAAACTTTGGACTATATTGACAGCTGATTTTATTAAAGAAAAGTTTGGATTCTCGAACAAAGAGGAATACACAGAATTTATTGAAAAAATTTGCATAGAAATGAATAAATTCAAAACATATTGCATCATAACAGATTACCATGCTCAAAAGCCTGAATAAAATTAATGAGCTCAAAGTTTTTATTATATTTTATATTATCATATATTTGTTAATATTCATATACAAATATATATATATATATATATATTTCATATCTAATTTATTTGGTCATTATTTGTAACTAATATTTATAATTATTTATATTCAGTTTATTAGTATAAATAAATAAATATATTATGCATAAATTCTTTAAGGAATTTATTTAATACATATATTTGATATAATATTTATTTCTATGTAAATATATAAATGATTTATTTATCTTTCAAACAATAAAGAATGTGTTTTTTCCTTTTGTTCCTATCTTGTTTACCTACGAGACAATTATAAACAATTAGAGACTGTTTCCGAGAATTAAAATCTTTAATCATTCATAAAGGGATCACAAACATATATCATGATATTGTATCATAATTTTAATGATCAATTTAAATAAACAATCTTTTTATTTTTTTGATACCAGAGGATAATGTGGTTTTTTTTACTGTCCGCGCTGTCCAATACCCTTTACTAGCCACAAAATAAATTAAAACTTTATAATTATATTCAAAAAGCAATTATGAACAATTTTAATTAATGTCTCAAAGTAAGTTTTTATAAAATTTTGCGTTATTTACGTTTTAAAAAAAGTAATTTTTGTCCCCCGTATTTGTAAAATATTCTAAGTGTATCAGAAACAATACTTTTTCCGCGCAGGTTTATTATGGCGTGATTTGAATCATATGATAAAAATAAGAAATTGTTTGTTTTCTTTCGAAAAAACAAAGTATAAAATTGATCATGTCTGAACTGTCTGTACGAGATGAAGAGATTGAACAATTGCGTCAAGAAATTACTCTTATACGCAACTCCAACGGTGAGCTCGATATAATAGTCTTTTGGATCTTTTAAAAACTTGTAAATACTTGTTAGAAAAGTTCTGAGATCTGTTTTTTTTTATTTTAGAACAAAGATTTCATGAATATAATGTGGAAACTCGCCGGCTTATAACGGAAGCTGGTAAGTTAAATATTAAAATAAAGGATCCTTCAAAAGGATTTAAAAGTTTTTTTTTATAATAAGATTGCAATAATTTCATATTATTTCATATTATAATCATTATTATTATTATAGAAAATGAAAAGAATAAAGCAATAAGTGAAAGCAAAGCCGCCAAAGAAGCGCTAGATAAGCTTCATATGGACTTAGCTTTCTTGGAGAAAAGTTTACAAGAAGAAAAGGAAGATCGACTAAAACTTCTTAGTCTAACACACGAGAAAATTTTACCAAAGGGTAAAAAAAAAAATATTATTTATTATTTATATCATTTATGTTATCACTTGCAAATAAGAGACTAAAACAAATAATTATTTCAACAAAAATTTAATTCAACAAAGATAATGAAGATCAAATAAAGATTTTGCACTCACAATATCAAAAACATATGTCAGAACTGCAAAATGAATTACAAATTGTGAAAATGAATGAAAATCAATTAAAGGTTTGTAATTATAAAGAAAATTTATTGTTTATTATCCAAGATTTCTTGATTGATTAATCTTTTTTTTTTTTCCTACCTGCATTCTCAGGATCAATTATCCATAATAACCACTGAAAAAGAATCTTTGCGAGATCAACTCAATTCAACGGAAAAAGATTTAAAGCAATGGCAAAATTTAACTAAATCAACATCAGAATCAAAGGTTTGAATCCTTTTTCTCTTTATAATACAAAAACCTTAATATAATTTAATATATTAATCTTAATATTACGTTTAAACAGAATGACGAGATAGAAAAATTAAACTCGAAAATTGAAAATTTAACAGTTGAATTTGAAAAGACTCGTCACCAAGCTTCCCATTTTGAAATGGCTTATAAAGATCAAGTTGCTATTACTCAAAGAACCCAAAATGAAAATTCTGACCGAGAAAAACATTATAATAATGTTTTAGAAAAATTGACGAATGAAACCTTATCATTGAAAAAATTAAATGAATTATATGAAAAACAACAAGAAAATGACAAACAAACGATCAAGGGCGCAGAAAGTAAGCGTGGTTTAATAATAAAAGATATACCAAAAAGATAGATTTAATTGTAAAGAAATTATCTAACATATTTAAACTATAATCCATATTTCAAATAGTGGAGGTCAATTCTCTCAAAATCTCCCTAAACAACAAAGAAGAAATTAATAGCATGGTAATTTATTTATATTTAATTCTATAATTTATTTATTTCTTATTTTTTTTATTTTTTTAATGTTTTTTTTTTATTAGTTGGTAGAAGAAACGAATAAATTGAAAGAGGAAATAAAAAATTTGGAGGAAGAAAAACAAAGATTAAATGAATTGTTTGCGGTTGAATCTGGTTCTCCGATTGAACAAGCACTGCGACATAAAGGAAAATCTATTATTAATATGGTAGAATTTTATTCTAATAATAATTAATTAAAATAATATTATTAAATATAATTGAATTGAATATAATTTTATATAATTTTATGATTTATGATAAAAATTTCAGTATGATGAATATACTCAACTTCAAGAACAATTTCTTCAACAAAGAAAGATTAATCATGAATTAACTCAAGTCATGACAACATTTAAATTCGAAATAGAAAATTATGTAAATATAAATAATTTTTTTTTTTAAAATATTTTTATTTTTTGTGAATATCAAATTAAAAACTTTATAAAATTTTTAATTTTTTTTTATAGGTTCCGTATGTTAATCAAAAAAATGAAGAATGTAATCGATTAATTGAAGAGAATAATATCATTTCAGAACAACTAGCGACTGTTAATTTAAAAATAGAACAGATTAATCAACAAGTAAATAAATTTTACATTCCTCAAAAATTGCAATATGAAATATTTGATCCTAAGTTTCTTTTTAATTTATTATATTTTTTTAGTTAAAAGATGCTCTCGCTGATAATAAAAGATTAAACGATCAGACTAACCAATTACAATCAGGTGAATTTCTCTTGGAATCAGTTAATATAAAATTTCAGAATTTAAATATTTACATTATATATAAATATATATATATATATATGTTTTCCTTTTAATATTATAGAAAAAGAAATGTATTTAAATCATAACATTACACTAATTCGTCAAATTGAAGAATTGCAAAAAGGTGGTGGTCCAAGTTCTCCAATAATAGTCCAAAACGGGGATGAGCTTCCACGGGATCTAAAAGAATTATATAAATTCTGCTTTGATTTAAAATCTTCGAAATTCTTTTTATTAGATAGAATTAAGAATTTAGAAAAAGATTTAGAATCAATGCAAACTGTTTTAGATACAAAAGAGTTCGAAAATAAAAGCAATACTTTAGAAATCAAAAAGCTTCAAGCATGCCTACAACAATTAAATGCCCAAATTGAAACATCAGAAAGAGATCACGCGCATCGTAATAGTTTAATTAGTCGAGCTAGTCCATCAAATTCACAAAACAATTCATTTTCTATTTCTGATAAAAGTTTTGGTGAAAAATCAATAGGGGAATACAAAAGTCTTAAGGTATATAATAAATATAAATATAAATATATATATATAATATACATATATATCTCTATATTTCTTTTTATACTTTATTATAATCAATATAATCTAAAAATGTAATTTTATAAATATCTTTATAGAAACGATATGAAATTGCAATGGAAGAATTAGCAGTTCGTGAAGAAACAATCAAGAAACTAAATAAGGAATTGGGTGCTCTTCGTTATGAAAGTAAAAAATTTTCCATTGAATGTAAAAATTTAGAAGGTAATTTTAAATATCTTTTTAAATTTATTATTAATGAACATTAATGATCAGTATTATTAAATACAATTTTTATTTATTTATTTATAGAACGATACTCAATTCTAAATGATCGATCTATATCAAAAGATAATGAATGCAATGACCTTAGACGAATACTTTTAGAAACTCAAAAGTTAAACGAAAGTATGGAATCACGTTTGATCATGGTAAATCTTCCTAAAATTTATTTTCTTAAAAATTATTATTTTATCTGTTCTTTTATTTCTTTTATTCTTACGTTTACCTATAAATTAATCTAATTCCCAATAATAATAGACAGAACGTGATAAATCAGATTTAGTTATTCAATTAGAAGATCTTAAGAAAGAACTTGATACCCGACAAGTTAAATGGGAAGAACTTCAAACTCGATTTAACACTGAAATTGATAATCTTGTATCTTCAAAAAATAAAAGAAATGAAATTGCCAAAGAAGTTCAATCATTAACCGATGATAAAGAAAAATTAAATCATGATATCGGCAAAGCTCAAGAAAATTTGTCCGCTGCAGAAATAAAAATTGAAAATCTTCAACAACAAATTAATGATTTGAATGAAAAAAATTCATCCGAGATGTTAAAAATGACTGATGAAAATGTTAAACTTATTGAAAAAAATAAAGATTTGCAACAAGAAATTGAAAAGATTCGAGAAGAAAATAAGGTTCACTCTGAAACAATTGATGCTAAAATAAAAGAAATTGAGAAATGCAAAGAGCAATTAATTATTTTTGAATCCAATGAACAAGGAGTCAAAATTTCTAAATTAAAGTATGCTTCTAATAATTTTTATAATTCAGTATTTTTATGTATTTTTATACATAATAATATTTAATATAATTTAATTTAATTTTGTTTTTTTAGGAGTGAATTAGAAACATGCCAAAAGGAAAATGAACAACTCCTTGAAGACAGTAAAAAGTTAAAGGAATTATGTGATAAATATAAAGCAGATGTAAATGAAAATAATAGATTATATTATGAATTAAAGACTGCGACTGACAAAGAACGTGATGAAAATACGGTAAATCTTATTATTATTTTTTTTAATCTATTCTAAAACTTATTACATCAATTAATTGTAAATAAATTTTTTTTTTTTGTTTTCGTTTTAAGGCGTTAATTAAAAAACTTCAAGAGGAGATCCCAACTATAAAAGAAGAATTAAATAAAAAGACTGAAGAATTAGAAAATAAAACTCGGGATCTTTTGGTTGCTAACGAAGAACTCTCAAAAATCATGGGATTATTAAATGAAGCTAACAATAATCTTAACGACAAAGAGAAATATTATAGCGATGAAATAGATAAGCAAAAAAATATGCTTGAAGAAGTACGAAATAATTATAATCGCGAAGTTATTGCTCATGCTGCTTGTGTACAAAATTTAAATGAACTTAATGATAAGAATGCTCAATTAAATTCAGATCTTGAAAATCTAAAAGTAAGCATGACAGATTTTACTTTTACATTTCATATTTTTATTTATTTTGTTTATTTTAACCATGGATTATAATAAATTTCTAGAATCAATTACATCAATCCGAATCTACCTTGAAGGCTGAAAAAGAACATTTAGAAAATACTTTACTTGAGGCACAAAATCGGTATTTTTTTTTAAAAAAAAAAGTTATATTTGTTATTTCTAATAGTTATTTAATAATTGAAAAATATTTTAAATTTAATTAATTGATATTTCCTAATTAGTTGCAAAGAACTTGAGAATGAAAATAATCTTCTTCATGGTTATTTCGATTCCCATGTTACCGAGAAAACACCATCTGAACAAATAATTTCACTTCTACGTCGTGATAAAGAAAAATTAGCGACCCAACTTGAAATTGTTACTCAACAAGGAGAGAGATATAAGGCTCAACTTGATCAAAGTCAAAAATCTTTGAATGAAGTTCACGAATTGTTTAATCAGGTAAAAAATAAATTTCCCATTAATATGATGAAAACATTTTAACAATGTAATATATTTCTTTATTGACTTTAACAATTTTTTCAGGAACGGGAGAAGTTTGAAAAGTCTGAATCACTAGAACAACGAAAGGCAGAACTTCAGGCTAAAGATTCTCAAATGAAATTACTTAACGAAAGCAATAAAACCCTGAGAGCTGAATGCACGAAATTTGAAGCAGTAATTTCCGATCTTCAGACTTCATTGAAAAACTCCGAAGAAAAAATAATTACTCTCGAAGGTTTTTATATTTATTAAAATGTTATTTGATTTTAATTTGATAAATAATTTATTTAATAATTTTAATATAGCCCAAGCACAAACACTAAATCGAGAAAAAAATGAAGCTCTTCAAGAAGTTGAAATTATTAAAAATGATAATGAAAGATGGAATGCAAGATTTCAATCAATCTTACAAAAATATGGAGTAAGTTTATATTTTAAAATACAAGAAATTATATATATATATTAATTAATAAATATTTATTAATTGATTTACTTATAATTATTTTATTTAGATTAATGATCCTGCTGAACTGCAGAATCTAAAAGAAAATTTGAAAACATTTACCGAAAACTTAAAAACATGCACCGAAGAAAGGGATAAATTTAAAGCCGAGTATACAAAGTTGAAAAACGATTATGGTATACTTAGGAAACAGGTAATTGATCTTATATTAGATAATAATTAAATTAAGTATGCAATTTAAAAATTATTTTGGACTTTTTTTTTTCTAGTGTGAGAGTCTTAGAGCTTCGGCTATTAGATTTAAAACAAGAGCAGAACAACTTGAAAAGGATAAAGCACAATTTACGCAGGAAAAGACACAGTTGACGCAGGAATTTACACAGGCGACACAGGAAAAGACACAGTTGACGCAGGAAAATTTGAAACTAGAAAAGGAAAAAGCGCAATTAACTCAGGATTTGCAAAAAGAAAAGGCAACCGTTGAGAGAGCTAAAAAGCAATTCAGTCACCTTCAAAAGACTAATCAACAGAAATTAGAAAGCCAAACTCAATCAAGCGAGCAATCAAAAAAGGAACTTGAAGATTCTAAACAACTGAATCAAGAAACCTCAAAGAAATTAGAAGAATCTGAGCAGCAGAAGCAGGACCTTACGAAAGAATTGGAAGAAATGAATAAAAAATGGGATGAAATTTTAAAAGAATTAAAAGAAGAAAGAGAGAAATCAGTAGAATATATGAGAATCAAAGCACAAGAATCTATGTTTTCCAGTAAAATAAAACGTTTGGAAGCCGAAAAAGAAAGTTTAATCCAAAAATTACAACAATCATCTTTGATGGATGTCGATAGCAGTGAAAAATCAACCACAATTGATCGACCTCCTGAAGCTTCAACACAATTACCGCTTGAAATTCCTTCTACTCCTCAAATTGTCATCGAACCACCTACTTCAAAAGAGGATAATAAATTAGAATCTCAAGTTTCAGAAGCAAATGTTTCACGTCTTTCTGATGATTCTTCTAGTGCCGAACAAACAAGTCCAATGCCTACTTCTAAACCTGCACCTGCATCCACTCCCACTTCAGTATCTGTATCAACTCCCGTAACTGCAATTACTCCCACGACTATCCCTGTTCCCACAAGTACTCCTGCTCCCGTAACTGCTCCTACTCCCACAACTACTCCTGCTCCCACAACTACTCCTGCTCCCACAACTACTCCTGCTCCCACAACTACTCCTGCTCCCGTATCTACTCCTACCCCCACAACTGCTCCTACTCCCATAAATACGCCCAGTTCCGCATCTGCACTTAGTTCCACATCTACACTTATTCCTATATCTTTACCTATTCCCGTTATCGTATCTTCATCTGTTCCTGCACCTGTTACCACATCTGTTCCGACATCATCTGCTCCTTCTCCAGCTACTTCTCCTCGTTCGCCTGTTCCTGCTCCTGCTTCTCGTGTTTCTACTATTGCTCCTTCTACAACTGCTGTCTCTGCTTCTCCTGCTCCGACTACTGTTCCTGTTCCTCCTGCTTCAACTACTTTTTCTTCTCTAGCCACTGTTCCTGCACCTACTCCTACCATTCCTTCCTCTCCTGTTACAGTAAGGGAAAAACCCCCAGTAAAGTTACAAAGAAAGCGTATGATAGTAATACCTTCAACCACAACGCCGGAAGGACAGCAGTCAACCAAATCTCTAGTTCCCATGGAAGTAGAACCTGCAACTTTAGGAAAGCATGAAAGAGAAAGTGAAAATGGTAAAATTAAATTTTTTGTTACTTGATCTATGTCACTACAAATTTCAATTTCTCATTATTATTTTTATTTTTTTTTAAAAAAAAATATATATATTCTTTAGATGAGACCGAAAAACCTGAGAATGAATCCGGATCATCACCTCCCGAAGTAACTTCAGGAGATGATTCAAATCCAAATAAAAAATCAAAAATTGATAGTAGTCAATAGGTTTTTTAAATAAATAATATTTTGTTAATTGATTTTTTGATACAAACATACATAATAATTAAATTTATAATAGTTTTTGAGAAAAATTTATTGCATCATGACAATAATGGACAATGTAAAAGAAATAATAACAATAATATTAATTATGTAAAACAAAATATAGAGAAATTAAATACATGTAAATAAAATAACATTAAAGATTTGTTACAATAGAAATGTTGACCGCAAAACTTTTGGGTTTCTCGAGAAGTTATAATTATTAAATCTTTCAATTTTTTTTTCTTCTTTAACAATAAGTTTTTTATTATTGTATTATTATTCCTTGTAATCAACAATAAACTTTTTTTAAGAAAATAATAACTAGAAAATTTTCTAAATATTTTATATTTTTTATATCCTCGTTACCGGGGAAAGCAACAACGTTTTACTGACATACTATATAAAAAACAATGCTTAGCATTTTAATGATAACTTTTTTTTTTTTGAATATACTTTCCATTGTAAATGTTATATAGTAAAAAATAATAATAATGAGAATATGCTCCTTTTAATTTAAGACTTATGAAATTGAATAAAAAGATCAAACGAAAAAAATAATATATCTTGTGATAAGTGCAATTAGAGATAATCCTCAAATAATAATAATTTCATAGTGAAAAAAGTGTTGTTCTCTTTTGTGAAGATTCATATTTTTATAGTTTTATTTTTTAATACAGAGTTCTTCAAGGGAAAAACCTGCATTAGATAATCTTATTCTTTTTGAAGTTAAAGCAGAATTTATATCCCAATTTAATTTGTTATACCAGAAGAATTCATTAAAAATTTTAAAGCTAATAGCTTTTACTTTTAATTAATTATTGAAAATCACCGTTTAATAATTTTAATAAGGAAGTTAATAGACAACGCACATCTCCGTGTCCTCCCCTAATATGTCATAAAAAATAAGTGATTAGATTTCGGTAGACTTATTAGAGATCGGTGTTTCGCTTTTTCTTTTATGAATTATTGATGCAATCGACCATGATGTAATTGTTTTATTCGTGAGAAATATCATGATGCAATTGTTTATGATGTAATTGTTTTTATGCTACAAAATATGTCAGTAAATACAATGGATAATAATCATCACACCAGTTGACAATAAGACAAATTCCTAAAAGATCCGTACTTGTGACAATATAAAATAATTGGTTGAGAAATTTCTTACGATAATCATTTTTTTATTTACTTTTATTTTTGTACAATTAAATTACAAATTATGAAATTAGTATTAAAAAATTATCTATAAAGAAATCTAAAATTAAAATTAAAATTAATTAAAATTAAAATTAATATATATATATTTTTTTTAAATTAAAATAATTTAGGCTAAAAAAGGTAATCAATAATTGAGAGTTTTTTGTTGGTGATAATTGTGAATATGAACTTGTTTTACACCTCGTTTCAATTGCTCCAAAAAAACAAAGGTCAAACAAAAATGAGGTCCAATTCTCATAAAGTGAGTACCAAAACCTTTGTATAATGTTATCCATCCTTCATTTTTTATGATGGTTAGAACATTGGATAAAACTGACTTGTTAGATGATGAATTATATAAACGAGTCCTCCTATATAAATAAATTAAATTAAATTATTATAAATAATTAATAGGAAAAAATAAATCAAAATGCATTGATTATAATTATAATTAATATTTATAATACATACACAACATCCAAAGGATTCATAAAAACAACACTGATAAATGCGCTCACTAAACTACATCCCATATCTAAAGGAATACCTTCACGAAACCCTTCTCGTTTTGCATAATCTTTTAACATAGTATATGATGACAAGTTTGCAGCACTTCCTAATATTCCCCGGTATACTGAAATCATAGATCCACGATAAAGACCTTTAACTCCACCTTCTTTGGATGTAATATGACGAAGTGCAGAAAACACAGATGTATAACCATATTGATTACCAACTGCAATAGCGCCTGCAGCTGAACTTTGTAAACGAGTTTTCACTAATTCAAAAGGATTCGCACTGATAGCCCCCATGGCACCACATAAGCCACCAGCAATCATTCGTTTATAAGCTGGAGCTGAAGATGATGATGTTGAATCCTCTGTAGGATGTATAATTGAAAGGATCGGATCATAAAGTCCCTATTATTTATTATAAAATAAAATATATAAATAAATATATAAATAAATATATAAATAAATATATAAATAAATATATAAAAATATATAAATATGTAAATATATTAATCCAATCAAACAGAAAATAAGGATAGTGAAAGCAAAATGTTATAATGATATAATATAATCATTTACTTACCAATCGAAAGACATTTTTGGAACTTTCTTTTAAAATCGAAGGGTTTAACCCTTTTTCAAGACCTCGGATTCCTTCATATTTGTAAGTTTTATATAGACAATCAAAACTGTTCTTATAGACCTATTATAAAAGATAATAATGAATAAATATGATATTTATCCATTCTTGTTAAAGATTCAAGATCAATGATTACCTTTTCAGCAACAGTACGTATTGTCCTTCCAGCAGAATCCTTTATGATCTTTACTTCACCTTGAAGTTGCATTCTAACCTTAACAGTATCAAATGGTAACGTGAAAACAACTGCCATGCTTGGTGCCAAAGCACTCATGGCAAAATTTTCAAGTTGAGAAATATTTGGTTGAGGTGGAAGAGTTTTTAGAGGTGGAGCGGAAGAAAGGGAAGTTTGTTTGTTCAAATTCATATTTTTTAAAGAAGACATTGTGGAATGGGTGAATTTTCAATATGATAACTAAATGATTTATTTTATTCTTTCCTAATTTTTTTTTAATAATAATTAAAAAATTTTTTTTTTTTTTTGATTTTTTTTTTTCTTTTTTATATCTTATTTTCTCATTGATATTATCATATGATTATTTTTATGAAATTTTGATCTCAGGGAGGTTCGTAGTATATATCTTATTTTCTCGTTGATATTATCATATAATTGATTTGATTTTAAAAAGAAAGACGAAATTTTTGATCTTAGGGAGAGTTCGCACTTATATATAAAATTTTAAATAAATAAATTTAAACTTTTGTATATGGTATGTGTCATGACGTGCAGTAATTAATTTACGGAAACTTCCGATAACAAAAAGAGTAAATTATTTGCCTCGTGACACTATTGTTACCATTTATTTTTTTTTTTGTTTTGGTTTTTTATTTTTTTATTTGGATATTTTTGCATATCATGCGATATAACATCAGGTGCTTCATTATGCATTTATGCAGTAGTAATGAGATCATTATGTTTGAGATTCCTCATGTGATCATTACGAATAACAATTATGTGAGACATTAATTATAATTACAAAAATTCGGGTTATCACTTTTATGTTAATTTGCATAACGATTGTAATAAAAATTTTATATTAATGATGTCCTTTTTAAACTAAAACATTTAATGATTCACATAGCAAATTTTTTTTATACATAAGCCTCGAAGAACAAAGTGATAGATCTATAATATCATTACAGAAAACTATCAAAATGTTATATTATCAAAATTTTTAATCCTTGATAAAAAAATTAATATTCTTCAAGATGAATTTCGAAAGCAATCTTTATAATGAATTTTATTATTTTTATTTATTTAATTATTTCTTTAGACATGTTCCAAATGTTACTCTCAATTTGAAGGGAAACAACCTTCATATTTTACTCTCAATTTGAAGGGAAACAACCTTCATATGCCTATATGCCTTGAAGGAATGAAAACTTTTTAGATATAAATGCTGTGAGAAATACGAACAAATGTAAATCTATCACATTTTAGTATTTAATATCAATTTAAAATTTGCTTTACTTTCAGCTTCTATATGTAAATTTTTTTAGACATGTGTAGGAGAAAGGCCTGAACAATTTAAAAGAAATTTTAAAACGGTCATATTGGGCTGGATTATAGCTTGGTTCTCAAAGGATGGACTCTTTGTTGTAGGGATCTATATTTCATCAAAGCACGTTATTTTCTTTTCTTTTTTTTTTTTTTTGTTTGAATTCACATAAATAATTTAAATAATTTATTAAAAAAGTACAAAATTCTGATAAAAGAAGTCAATTTATAATTTATCTATTAAAGTGTTCATTTAATTGCTTCTAATTAAAGAATAATGCAAAAATTTCTACTATAAAAAATCAATGACTACAGAATTTACAAGTGATAAAACTTACAAATATAAAAAATGTATGAAATTAAATAAAATTAATAATATTACAATGCAATGTCTTTTAAATGATTCTTATTCTTATGAAATTCCAGGTTTTTGATGTTAATCATAAATATTTAATCTAACATGTCCTCCTGTTACTTCATTATTTTCTCTTGATTCATTTGCTGATTCAGAATCATTAGATGCTTCAATCATATTTTGTTCGACTATATCATTTAAATTTATATCAACCAATTGACCAATATGTGGAATTAATAATGTTGAATGCCTCAGGGGCAACTCAGCGTTGTTGTTGGCTGTCGTCATATTTGTATTCGATGCTTCATTCTCAGAATGGCGTTGATATCCTTTATTTATTTTGCCAACAAAAACAGTTTTCTTTATTAAAAATATCAGGGCGCACAATACTATAAATATTGCTATGGTTGTGCCTATTATAGCAGAGATTCTATAAGGTGAACGAGGATCAAATGGGTTATTTGGGATTGTTTTCTCGGTCGGAGTTGTTGTTGGTGATGGTGTTTCGGAAAATAGGGTTTCTCTCTCATCATTACCACTTGGCTTATTTTGTTTACCATTTAATCCTATGAGAGTTGTGGTTTTATTATTATTAAGAATAACTGAAGTAAAATAAAGAGATGAAAGGCTATCACTAGTTATAAAACCACTTTCACTAGTTGTAAAATCTAGACTCGTTGTTGATGTTGGTTGTGATATTTGAAAATCATTGTCATGACTTGTTGGATTGTCATCGACCTTCGTGCTAACAAGAAAAGTTTTCTCGGGTATATTTTGAACTGTACTTATTGGGTTTGGTGTCAAAATGGAAGTGGTGATGTCAACGGGCTTCGTTTTTATAGGTTCAACTTTGGTTTTCTCCGGTTTATCATCAACAAGACTGGTTGGAGTTGGTATCAAACTAGAAGTGAAGTCATCGGACTTCGTTTTTATTTTGTTTTTATCATCATCGTCGAGCTTCGTTTTTACTTTGTTTTTATCTGGTTTATCATCAACTAAACTGGTTGGAGTCGGTATCTCAGAAGTAATGTCATCGAGCTTCGGTTTTACTTTGTTTTTATGTTTACCGTCAACTAGACTAGTTGGGATTGGTATCTCAGAGGTGATGTCACTGAGCTTTGGTTTTACTTTGTTTTTATGTTTATCATCAACTAGACTGGTTGGAATTGGTATCTCAGAAGTAATGTCATCGAGCTTCGGTTTTACTTTGTTTTTATGTTTATCATCAACTAGACTGGTTGGGATAGGTATCTCAGAGGTGATGTCATCAAGCTTCGGTTTTACTTTGTTTTTATGTTTATCATCAACTACACTGGTTGGAATTGGTACCTCAGAAGTAATGTCATCGAGCTTCGGTTTTACTTTGTTTTTATGTTTATCATCAACTAGACTGGTTGGAATTGGTATCTCAGAAGTAATGTCATCGAGCTT